CCCCCCACAGAGCCCTGCTGGATCTGTGCCATGGCTCTCTGGTGTTTCCCTGAACACTTTTATGACACAGCACCATGTGCCTAGAGCCTGGTTTATGGGCCAGGATCTCCTGTGTGTGGAAGGCAGCGTGCAGGATCCTGGCCACAGGGAAGCCACAGCAGGATGGTGGAAGTCAGGTCATCTGGCTCACAGACCTGCACTGCTCATTTAATAAGGCATCTACAGAGGAGCACATGGAAGCAATAATGGCTCATAAACAAATGTGACAAAGACCCTAAGAGTTTACTATTTTTAAAAAGTTAATGAAAAAAATAAGAAGGAAACCTCCACCTTTCAGAGGGCTCTAATTAGCTCACATGCTAGACTCACCATCGTGGGAGTAAAGTTTATATTGGAGTTCTTTAAGTGTATAAATAATTTTATGTAGTAAGAATATCCACCCAACAGAAAGATATACAACTGCTACTCACTTCCTCTGAGCAATTCTGCAGTCACATATACAGTAAGAAATTAATTATATCTAAGGTAATGTTAGAATCTGCCTTGAGAAGGAACAAGCTGTTGACCAGCACAGGCTGTGATGATCTGCTGCCTGCCCTGACCTTTCTAAGGGAGGGACAACCAACTCCTCCAAAAACAAACCACCAAATCCAGCACAAAGCACATGATGCCCATAACTTCAGGTAATCTCATGTACAGATATCCATGCAATTAAGGGATGGCACAATGTCACAAGAGAGACTGCCACTGCAACAGAATTCACAAACAGCCCTTTCATGAGATGCATTAATACTGACTTTTCTCAGTTCATAGTCTTTACTCACATCTCTCTTTTTTAAAAATCATCTCCTGGGTTCTCTAGGTCAGAGTTGCTTGGTAAAAATACTTTGATGTGGCCAGTGCCACAAGTACTTGAGTTTTCTCCCTGCAAACAGCTATGATCAACAAATGAAAGCCAGAGGAGAAATTTAGAGATTTGTATATTTAGGACAAAAGCATTGGCTAAGAATTTTGTCAAGGCTTTGGCTGACTTATAGATGGCTGAAGAGGAAGGAAGGAAAAAAACCCCCAAGGCTGTAAAATACCATATACTGCAGCTCCAGGAGTAGTGGCTCACTTCCCACTCTGCATCACCATAAAAGAGCAAACAAAACAGGGTTCTCTTAGTTATCCTCATATACAAAAAAATCCCAGGGTCCTTTCCAAAATGCTTCTAGAGTAAAGACATGGGATTACACGCACTGCCAGCTGACAAACATTTCTAAGCTCACTCTGAGTGCCTCTGAATACAAAGACAGCTTGAATGAGGTCTCTGAGCAGCAGAGGGGTTTTTGTAAGAGTACAGCACCACGAATCTGGTACACAGGGCTTTCCTCCGACTCTGAACGAGAGCACAGGCTCGGGACAGCCCAGGTGAGCCAGCTCTAACCCAGGCTCAGGTGGCCACAGATCAGAACTGGAGGTGTGAACAGCACGGCCACCTGCGGCACTTTACACCTGTTCCAGCACCACCAGCTCCTCGGAAAAGCGAAACAAAGGCTGAAAAATGAGGCGGCAAAGAGAACAACTCGTGCATCAACAAGGACCGGCGTGCTGCCTCTGCAGGAACTCACCAGCGGCTCCCGGGACGCGGCGCTGTCGGTCGCAGGGCAGGAGGCAGCCTGTGGAGCAGACAAACAGTGAGGTGACATTGCCACCGCATGGCCACCGCCAGCCCCCGCGCACGCCCGGCTGTGCTGGCAGCATGCAAAAAGGTCAGAGCCACAGAAAAAGGTATTCATTCCCCATTTAAAACAGGGGAATTAACAGAATCTGCTGAACTGATTTTAGGGAGCCAGCAGTGAGAGCCAGCAAGACAGATGACATGGGAGTAGTGGCCACTACAACACAAATTTTTTAATACTTCTCCCATTTCCAGTAATGCACCCTTTGTTTTCTGAACCGTTCTTCTAAAGATTTCTAAACAACCATGATTTACTTAAACCTCACAAACTGTCAGCAGTACCAGGACCATCCTTCTTCCCATACTTAATTAAGAGATTAAGTTTTGTCCTCCAATTATAGTCCTCATTTTTATGCATATACCTCACCTTCAAAGTATCTCAATATTTCTTTCTCCTATTTGCAAAATTCACAAAAACAATAATATTTATATTATAAAATAAGTATTTACCACAAGAGGGTGCCAGAAACTCAAATATACTGCAACTCATCTGCTTCCAGACAAGGATCATCACCAGGACCCAGCCAGATCTCCCAGCTGGGCAGGGATTCTCTGGGATCACTTGCCATAACCTCTGGGTGGGAAGAAGGAAGGAAGGAAGGAAGGAAGGAAGGAAGGACCCACCACTGAATTAATATCCTCAGGAAATTCCAAGAGCAAAGTATTTAGCATTAAAGAAGCACCGATAGCCAAGAGAAATCTAAAATTGGTTATCCTGTTCACAGGCTACACCATCATCTTGCTCTTCTCTTTCTTTTACTATAAAAAAACAGTAACAGAGAAACAGGATTTTTTCTTTTGCTTATTTTTAGTAAAGACATTGCTAAAGGCCCAAGGAATATGATTTCTAAACAAAACAAAGTATTTTAAAATCTCTGGCAAGAATATTTATTGCCTTTAGAACATAATTCTATCTACGTAAACTATTTCATTTGAGCTGCAGTACTCCCCTCTCCCTGCATTGCTTGAGGCAATATATTAATTCATGAGAATGAGAAAATTAAACTAAGAAAAACTGATAATAAGCCATAACATATCTGACACTCCCTTTTCAGCATCTAAATTAACTTGATTTGTAATAGAAAACATGATGGGGCCCAAACATAAACATGTTAAGTGAGGCAGTGCCACTACTCACAGTCTCATGTTGAAAGCTTGGCAATAAATAAACAAACATCACCAGCGGCAGAAAGCAAATATTTTATTAAATTCTCTAAGCGTTTAGAGTGCAATGGGGACAACTTTCTACAAGCATCGATGACAGTGTCAAAACTGCAATGGTTGTGTAAGAGGAGTGGTGTTTACGTTCTGTGAGACTTGTAAAGATATTTTCATTGGTTTAATTCTGAACCTGTCCCCTTGAAAAGTCACCCATTGTACTATATATCCTTCAATCATATCCCCTTTTTCCAGGCAAAGCTCTAGGCCTTTCTCAAATTCCATCCAAGCCCCCAGAATCTGAGAGCACTGAACACTTCTCAGAGTTCTGGCTGAGGAATGTGCACCCGTGTGAGACCCACAGGAGATGGCAGAGTTACAGAATCACAGAACGGTTTGGGGTGAAGGGACCTTAAAGATCATCTCATTCCAACCCCCTGCCATGGGCTGGGACATCTTCTACAGGATGGGGACACCTGTCCCCAGCAGGCAGGGCCAGGCTGGGCCAGCAGGAGCAGCCCCTGTGCCCTCTGAGTGGCACACGAGGGGAAGGAGGAGGAGGAGGACGCTGGAGCAGCTCTGGAGGGGTCAGGGCTGTTAATAAGCAAGACTTTCCCATTTCCAAACACTGAACCTTATTCTGAGATAAAGCAACATAAATAAATGGGGCAGGTTTAAGTGTGCAGTGGGAAAGTACAAAATCCAAACTCAAAGGAAACTGAATGTGTTTTAGGCAATCACATTTGCCAATTAACCTGCCAGCCCAGCAGACTGCCCAGGTGCCTTATGGACCAGTCACAGATTGTTCCAGGTTTCCTCATTCTGGAAGCATTCACGGGAGGGGATGGACTGTAACACCTGCACCTCAGACTGGGGCTGACGAAAACACCCAGGTGATGCAAAGCTGCCCTGCCCCCTGACAATTTGGTAACTTAGCCTTTCACAACCCACATCTGTGCTGGTTAGCCAAGAGTACAGATTTTATGTAATTTATTTCCATTTCAGTTTAGTTCAGCGGCCTTCCCTACAAACTCAGCCTCCTCAGTCCAAAGTAAAGGGATCAACAGAGAGGTTCATGGTTATTTCACCAAATCTGGACACATTTGAGTGATTGCACATAATAATGTGTCACTGGCAGGCTGCCCTATGTTTCACACAGCCAGACCTTTCCCCTCCTGCTGCAGTGGGATCCTGGGGGCACTGAAAGGATTTTACCAAATCCCATTGGCATCACACACTCAGGAACCTGTCCGGGTGAGATGAAAGAGCTCCAGGAGGTCACAGAATTTGAGGTGGGTTGAGCTTGCAGAGAAATACAAGTGACTGTAGAGCATGAACAGGACAGTGTGAGAGGAAGCCTACACTCTACACTACAGAATCACAGAATCCAGCTCGGAAGAGGCCTTCAAGAAAATAAGAATATATACTATATACAACTCCATCACGCTTCTGTTTTTCCCTCTGGCTGCCCCATTCATTTCATGCCCCAGTTTAAAAATATCTTAAGCCTTTAGTGTTTCTTGAGCACTCAAACCAGTGAACTTCTATTTCTCTTTTGCTCTCCCCATTCAGTTTTGCCCTTTCACGCTCTCGGCTCAAGAACCTCCTTCCCTTCCTCGCATTTGCAAGGCAGAGACAATCTTTTTGCCTAACTAGTCATAGAATTACAGAATATTCTGGGTTGGAAGGGACCCACAAGGACCATCGAGTCCAACTCCTACACAGGGCTCCACCGAGTTTAATGACCCAGCTGCACACTGTCCCCTTTGTCTCTGGCCGTGTTTGTATTTATTCTTCTCCTATTCAAGTGCTTGATGAGTTCATACACAAACCCTCAATGCCAACACGCCTGTGCCCTGGGCCCGGCCTGCACACCCTTCAGCCAGCCCCGCACAGCCCCTGCTCGCCCAGGGCACGGAGCCCGGCTGCGGCACCGAGCCCGCGGCGCACGGGGGCGGGTCCCGGAGCGCCCGGGGCCCCCGGCCCGGCCCGACCCCCTCACCTGCCCCGGCTGCTCCGCTCTCTCCGCGGCCGCCATCTTCCCAGGCGCGCCTAATCCATCCCCGATGCACGGACCGCCCGCTGCAGCGCCCGCCCCCGCAGGCACGGCGAGTCGAGCGCCGGCGCGGCAATGCGGCCCGCGGGGGCGGCCCCGGGGCCGTGAGTGCCCAGCCTTAGCCGGGCCGGGCCGGGCCGGATCTCCGGCAGCAGCGCCTTCCCCGCCGGCAAGAGCCCTTGGGGCACTGCGGAGCCGCAGCTGATGGCGGCGCGGCTGAAGCGGTGCGTGGTGCGGCGGCGGGACGGGCCGGAGCAGCACGGCGTGGCCGCGTCCTGCCTGCGAGAGCTGCGCGACAAAGGTGAGCGGCGGGCCCGCTGGGGGACCCGCTGTGGGACCCGCTGTGGGATCTGCAATAGGACCTGCTGTGGGACCCGCTGGGGGATCGGCAATGGGACCCGCTATGGGATCTGCTGTGGGACCCGGCTAATGTGCAGCACTGTGAGGAGACAGCTCCTGGTCTCCAGCCTCAGTCACTGAGAGTTGCCAGTCCTTTGTGCTGGGGGTAATAAAAGGGCAGTGCTATGTCACTTTTATTGTTCTGTTAAGTATTTTTTCTGTTCTGCAGCTTGTGGTGTTCTGGCTATTGACAAGGCCCGGGAACCCATCACCTTGGTACTGGCAGAAGATGGGACCATTGTGGATGATGAAGATTACTTCTTGTGTTTGCCATCTAACACCAAGTTTGTCGCACTGGCCAAGGATGAGAAATGGTCTGGTAAAAGCTTAGGTATGCTGTGAGTGAGGAAGCATGGAAGGGGAGGTGTGTTTGGAATACACCTAGTGACATTAGGCAGTGTCAGGAGATCAGGAATGACCCATGAAACTGGTGACTCTTGTGTCAGACAGTGGAACATCCTGGCTCTCGGAGTCTGTGGATGAAGTGGACAGTGCTACTGAGAAGTGGAAGCAACTGGCCAGGCAGCTGAAGGATGACCTGTCCAATATTATCCTGATGTCTGAAGAAGACCTCCAGGTACAGTGGGGAAACCCCCAGTCTCTGTCCTTTTATCTGCCCATCATCCATTTATCTCAGTAGAGAACTGAATCAATAAACAAGAGCTCAGGCTTAATTCAGCTGCTGCTTTTGGCTCTTGGTGCCAGAGTCAAACTTCTGCTTGAAGGGAAACATTCAAGTGTCCAAGGATGCTCTTAATCCCCAAGTACCCCTCACAGGGTGTTGTTCCAATTCTGACAGTGGGAGGGCAAAAAGTTGAGATTTGGCCAAATGACAACTGAATTCAGCACATTCCCTAAAGCCAGACACCTGTATAACATGTGCAGAGGAGAGGCTGAGCAGCAGGCCAGATCTGTCTGCTCCAGAGGGGTTTGAAGAACTGCTGTCACTTTGCAGAGCTGATTGATTCAAGTTTCTGACTGCTTAACACCTTGTCTGTGGTGAGGCATGGCAATAACTGTCCCTTCTTGTCCTTCCCAATGTGCAGCTTCCCAGGTGCCAGGCTACTGCCTTTCCTTTGAGTATTTCCGTGCACTGTGAAGAAGCAGTGCTTTGCCATTATTTTTCAAGATTACTATTAAAATTGCACATGATTCCACACCTTCTTGAATGCCTTATGGCTTTTAGTAAAAAATGCTGCCTGATGGAGTGCCACTGCAGCCTCTCAGAGCTCAGGGGACTTGCTATGACAAGAAACCTTGTGGAACATGCTTGGTTTCAGAAGGGTTTGTACATTCTGTCTGTACTGCAAAAAGTGCCATGAAATAAGTTACTCAGGAGCCCTCTCAATGTTTTAAGGTGCTCATTGATGTGCCACGCTCAGACCTGGCAGAAGAACTTGGCCAAAGTGAAACCAAAATCCAAGTGCTGCAGGACACCCTGCAGCAGGTGCTGGACAGACGAGAAGAAGAGCGTCAGTCAAGGCAGCTCCTAGAACTCTACCTAGAGGCCTTGAAAACTGAAGACAGTATCTTAAGCAAACTCACAGGTAGGGAGCATTTGTATGCTAGAGAAGGAGGTTTTCAACCCCTACTGAGTGGAATAAATAGAGTGAGTAATTTGGTCAGCTGCTGTTAAATGAGGTTGATGCAAGAGCAGGTATAGTGTAAGAATTCTCTGACCAGAGAGCCCTCTCACTGCTGTGTCACATTTCTCACAAAGCCTGAAAGCAGAATACTGGGAGAAAAGCTTAGATCCTGTAGTCCTCCTTAACATTATGGATTTCTTAAGTTCCACAATGCACCTAGATTGGATGTATATTTTATTAATCTCACAACCATCAAAGCAATCCAGGCCACTTTTCCTGTCCTGTGTTTGTCAGGGGCTGTACTGATTCTGCTCCTTTCCAGAACCTCAGGCTGCACCAAGGAAGGAGATGGATGTGGTTGACACAGGTACCAGCAGCACAGATACGTCAGCCACAACAGCACTCAGCAACCAGGTCCTTGCTGCTCTGAAAGAGAAAACTGCTCCAGAACTCTGCTTGGACAGCCAGGATCTAGAGGTGGGTGAGAATGACACAACCATATTCTGGCAAACCTCTCCCTCTGAAAGAAGGGCTATAGGGAAAGCTGTCCCTGCTTCTGGAGGCTCTTATGTTCAGTAGATCTGTTTCAAAGTGCTGAAATTTAATTAATTTCTCTTCCTCAGTAACACTACCCCTGGCTTGGAGCTCCTCTGTAACAGCCAGCTGACAGTGTTCCACACACTTTGCTTTGTGCTCTGAAAAGCCACAAAATAATTTTGGGTTTGGTCTCTGCCAAATCAGCCAGCTGTCCTAACGGCAAGGTTCTTTGGGTTTTTTTGGATGCTTATGCATCTAGCTATGTTTCTTTTATATATCCCAAATCAAAATAAAAACCTTATTTTGGAAAAAAACCCTGCATTATAGCTTGGAAAGTCTAGATAAATTGTAACCATTTAGGAAGGTGTTCTTTCAAGCTGTGACTTGCTACTCCTGCATTTCCTTCTGTAGAAAATAAGTAACTGCTTTCTCTTCCTTTGAACACCTGAACAGAGCTTCAAGCACTGAGTGCTGACAAATTTCTGGAAATCCACTAGCCCACGGGATAGGTGATGAAAGCTGGGAACATGTCCAGTTCCAAAGTGCCAGTACTAAACTTTGGTGCCTGGTTCCTGCTGTAGTTCGTGTCAGCAGAGGGTTGGTGGCTGGGGAGTCAGTACAAAGACTGTTACTCTGTCTTGCTGCAGCTGGTGTTGAAGGAAGACGCAGCAGCCCTGGCCTCGGCTCTGGGATGGGACAAGCAGAAGGCTGGAGCTCTGCAGGGAGCCTGTGAGCAGGAGCTCTCCAAGCGCCTTCAACAAGTGCAGGCTCTGCACTCCCTTCGGAGCACGTCCAAGGGCAAGAAAACGCTTCCCTGGGGGGACTGGCCCAGCGCAAAACGCAAAAAGTGAGACTGCAGTGCTGCTTGCACTTTGGGTTTTGCTTTTGCATTAGAATCAATACAAGCAAAGACATATCCTGGGAACCATAGTTTGCTGGTCATTCTGTGGTCTGGCTATAGAACTACTAAAATCTGGACATTGTCCTGAGGCTTAAACTCCTCTGGTGATTTGAATTGCGTAAGCAAAGGGATTTTGACTTTTTGCAGAATGCTAGAACAATGGTATTGCTAAGCACAGTATGTGAGTGTTCAGCTTTCAATTCCTGGTTGGTGGCCAGCAGCTTCCATCTGATAATGGTGGATGCAGCTCCTGAAGCCCCAGGCAGTTTGCTTACTTTATCTTCCACCGTTTTCAGTGTAAAAGGGATGGAGGATCTCTGGAAGACACTTTGAGGCACAGTTAGTGAGTGATGAGGGCAGAGGGACTCCAGCCTGGGATCTAGGAACTTGAACTCTCACGCTGATTTTATCAGTTAAAGTAAACTCAAAGTCCTTCAACTTCAGTGCTTTTTTCCTGTAAGGAACTCCAGCCTCTTGGATGCTGTGTAAGAACTATCATATAAAACACAGAAAAGGTGGAAATAATTGCTTTGTAAGGTTGTGTGACAGAAGATTTGCATTTGGCCTGCTGTCTTAGTCTCCTAATCATAATGCTTTTGTATTAGCTGGCTTATTTTTAAATTTGTTAAAGTATTTTTTTTCTAATATCAATAAAACCTTTTTATCTTACTGTTGGACTAGTTTTGATATTTCCACCAGCTGCTATAATTAAAGAATGGGCTGATAAATATTACCTTAGGAAAAGAGGATGAAGAAATTAACACAGAATTGAGAATGGTCTGTTTCAAACTCTTTATTTAAAGTATTTTGATTTTAATAATAGATACCTTTTGTGAGCAATTAAGGCATTTTGGCTGTAAGCTTACTGAATTCTGACAGACTTTCCATTTTTGGAACAATAAAAATCCAGTCGCATTCACCTGAAAACCTAAAGATTCATTCCTGGACCTAACCTGCAAGATGAATAGGCTAATTTTGGTTTCTCTAGGATAGTAAATGACCTGAAACATTACTCAAAAGATACATCATGCCATGTTGGAATCTTCATTTTCAGTCACAACTGCTTCTTGTTCTCCAGGAATTCTCTCTCCCTTAGCTGTGCTGGACTTCTTTTTCTTCTTCTCCTTCTGCTCCATGTTATTTGATGCAAGCTCTTCACTCTTCTGAGTGATATATTTTAGCTGGGAACAATAAGCTAATCAGTACTCTACTGAGGAACTTCATTCATTCACAAGACATTAGAAAGAAATACTGAAGAGAAATTAACACGGCAAATTCTCATTACAAGAAACATGACAGACTCCAAAAAACATTTACTTTGCATTCTCAGGCAAGTTTGTGTTGTATCTTTCAAATTATATGGGGAAGGAAAAAAATCTCCTCACATAAAAGTAAAATTAGTATTGGAAGCATTTTTCATGGATCCACATACAATCTGTCTTAGCAGACGAGTGAGTTTTATCCAGTGAGCATCATATAGAGCAGCAAAGGAATACAGTGATTCTGTGATCCCTGTATTAATGTTGGGAGACTCAGCACCTCGAGGCAGACTCAAGCTATTCCTGACCTCAGTCTACAACAAAGAAACAACATCAGGAAAAAGCAGTGATTCACAATGCTGTGTCTGTTTATTGCACTTCTGAACTTGGACCGTCAGCAGCCCTGGTGCAAGGAGAGCACTGCTGCTTGAACTGCAATCAGATCTCACCACAGTGAGGCAGAGTGGCATGAAACAAAATAAGATGAAAATTTAAAAATCACTGGATTGTGCCTATCTACCTCAGGAAGACCGTGCAATTGCTTATGCAACAGTTCCTTCACAACGTGTAACCTTCATTCAAATGCTTTTAGGAATTAACTGGTTTAAGAATGTTGCAAGACAGAAAATAGAGTGCATCTCACCAAAGAATTGCTTCTTCTAGCCAAAAGCTTCACATCTTCTGTAGTGACTGTGGTTCGTTTTGCATGCCTGTATAAAACCAAAAAACAGCCCTTAACATTTTTGCCAGTACTGACCATAAGAGGCCAAGATCAAAAAGTACCTACAGGGAATTTCTAATTCATAACTTCATAGACACTATTTAAGCAGCCAACCAAGCCCTTTAAAGCTTGAATTACAAGATGTGTTTTAAATATTATCTAGGAGCTAACACAAAAAAAGGGAAAGCCTTTGTAACAATCAATGCATACCTTGCAAACATTTCGAGGTCTTTTGCAAAGATTTCTAGAGAAAACACAAAGATGTAATATATTTTAAGACACTAAGTGGGAAAAAGTACACAATACACAAGTTATCCAAGTCAGTTACGAGAAATGACCATAGCTGGTTGTTAGGCACCACTCGTACACAAACAGGAAGCCACACAAGATTCCCTCATACATCTAAATGCTTTTTTCAGGCCTGAAAAGTCCAACTAGTATTTCTTATACTTAAAAAACATATAATGCAAGAGAATGCCCCGGTGACACCTAGTTCGATGCTATTATTTTTGAGGCCTCCAGCGATGGCTCCTGAACAGCCATGGACCGGCTGCAGTAACCCAGGTAACAGCAGGTAACGCAGCTGTACCGCACTGCCGGAACGTGATGTCCGAGATGGCCGCGATGCACTGTTTGCTGAACTGCACGTCCTTGTCCTCCTCCACCTCCTCGCACAGGCACCCGACTGTGTAGTGAACCGCCGCCTTCAGCCTCTGCAGGGACCACGGCAGGGACAGGCAGTGACACACCGGCCTCGCCCCAAAGGACCAAAGCCGAAACGGCCGCTCACGGCCTGGGCCCGCCGTGCGCCGCTCGGTACCTGCGCGAGCATCTGCCGCTCCTCGCCGGCCGCCGCCGCCGCCATCGCGGCCCTCACGAACCCCTGCCCCTGGCGCTTCCCGCCCTTGGCGCGCGGGGCGGGGCGGGGCGGGGCGGGGCCGCCGTGAGGGGA